CGGTTCTACGAATGTTTACCCTGAGTTTTCTATCTGTAGGTTTAATCAGTTTACAAGTGGATCCAAAACGGATCAAGGTTAAACGAACATGCATTTCTATCGATTACACAGATGACAATCAACGGAGTGTGGCGCGTGTCGATAAAACATTAACTAACTTTACAGTTACTAAAGATATGATTATCAAATTAAAAAAATGTACTTTTAGAAAGTGTCCTTCTATATGCCATGTTTTTTGTGTCAATTCTATCATTCCATCAGGTCCTTAGTGCAAATGTTTGTCCTTTGTGCAATAAGAACAAAAATTTGCAGATAAGTCTATAACATTTGCGCAATTAAATGCTTTTTTTATTGGCGCAATAGAATGCTGCAGTTTTCAAAAATAAAGTGACGCAAAAGAAGAATTGGCGTAATTAAGTTGTGGCGCAAATTAATTCTTTTTTTACAGCGCAAATGGATATCGGCCTTCAAAACACCGTTTGTACACTAACATTTATCGTTTACGCTGTCTAGTCTGAAAATAAAAGTTTTGGCAATTTGTGTAGGATTTTAATTTTAGAATGTAATGAACAAGTACGAAGATCGTTAAAAACCTTAAGTGAATCGGAAAATGAGCTATGCACGATTAAAGGAAATAGTTTGATGCGTCGATATGAAATTTCACAGAGGCATGTAATATTTGTAAAATTTGGAGAGAGAGAGAGAGAGAGACTAATAAATTTCGCGGTATTTGGTCTCATGTTACAACAAATGTACTCATGTCAAAATGTGATGGAAGGAACAACAAATGGAAAAAAAAATATTAAAAAATAATATAGAGTAAAATTTTGAATAACTAAATGAATAAATAAATTGATGAATAAGTTAATAAATAAAGAAAAGAATATAAAAATAAATAAAATAAAATAATATAAAAATGAAATTTTTATATAAAACATAAAATAAAAAAATAAAATAAAAAATATATACGTAAAAATAAATAATTAATAAACACGGAGCCACCAGAAGTAGGAAAAGGAGGAAAGCTAGGCCAAGCAAACAGCAGTGAACGGCAGCAACGTTGTCCTGGTACACCAGCAGCCAAGTAAAGAGCGGAAAATTTTGATATGCCAAATTGTGTATGTGAATTTATTTGCCAAATATTTTGTATAAACCGAAAGATGCCTAAATTTGTGTATGCGAGTTTTGCAAAAATAATTAGTAAGATGTTTTGTATGTACTATAAAAAAGAGAATTAAATACAATAAAAATAAAATAAATAAAAAATCAAAGGGTGTATGTATAATTTTGACTGCTTTGTGCTAGTGCTACTTATATTGAGACTTTATAGTGCTAGTACACTGGAACGCTGCCCGCAGGAAGACAGCGCCCCACGCTAATTAAAACTGGGTTAGCGCAAACCAAATCTTGCGAAGTACCATTTTTTAAGTCTTAGATTTGACTTGCGGCTTAATGATATGGAAAATTTATATAAGGACCAAAAGTAGACACAAAAATAATTTGGATGCCGCGAATTTGGAAAAAAAAAAGCCAAATGTTATCGTGAGTTACCGTAACTGTTTAGTTAGCATAATTTCAATAGTTTAATTTACTTAGCACTACATATATTTTAACTAATTTTAAATATGTTTAATTATTTCAAACATTTTTTTAGATTATAAATTTATTTCGATTTTAATTCGTCTTGAAGAGCTTGCTGTACTGCCGGTTACGGCCTGACTCTATTTCTGAGTCACTGACCCGGATAACTCTTGCAGTGTAGTTGATCTTCTTAACGATGTTTTGTTGAGCCGTCTTGAAGAGCCTACTGTACTGCCGGTTACGGCCTGACTCCATTTCTGAGTCACTGACCCGGATAACTCTTGCAGTGCAGTTGGTCTTCTTACCGATGTGTTGTTAAGCCGTCTTGAAGAGCTTGCTGTACTGCCGGTTACGGCCTGACTCCATTTCTGAGTCACTGACCCGGATAACACTTGCAGTGCAGTTGGTCTTCTTACCGATGTGTTGTTAAGCCGTCTTGAAGAGCTTGCTGTATTGCCGGTTACGGCCTGACTCCATTTCTGAGTCACTGACCCGGATAACACTTGCAGTGCAGTTGGTCTTCTTACCGATGTGTTGTTAAGCCGTCTTGAAGAGCTTGCTGTACTGCCGGTTACGGCCTGACTCCATTTCTGAGTCACTGACTCGGATAACTCTTGCAGTGTAACTGGTATTCTTAACGATCTTTTCTTTAGTACGTCCTGTTATTGTTGTAAAAATTGTTTTATTACTGCCGGTTACGGCCGGACTCCATTTTGAGTCACTGACCCGGATAACTCTTGCAGTGTATTTTATTTATTTTATTTATATTACTTTTATTTTTTTTAATACTTATATAAATTTATGGTAATCAATTTCTGTTAAATATTGAACCAAGCACGACCAGACATATTGTTGTTTATCTTTAGGAGGATCTAGCAATATTTTGGTATTAACATTTTGTATTTGAACCTTATCCAAGTTTGATTGTAAATTTTGTCTGGCTTGTGAGTGATTAATACAGTTAACTAGTACGTGTTCTATATCCTCTTTAATGCCGCACGTATTGCATATTGGAGGTACATTGCGGATGTACTGGCCTAGCTGACCAGGTAATAAAGTAGTACCCAACCTAAGTCTAGTTATTGTTTTTGCATGATATTGATTACCTTGATAAAAAGTGGGTTTTTTATTTACTGTATTGATGGAAGGAAATGTTTCCCCCTCGTTTTATATAGCAAGGTATTCCATAGTGTAATGATATTAGTTGTAGGTTTTTTTTTCTATCGGTAAGAAATGGTATACAGTTCCAAATCTACATTAAGTTATAGTACATTCAAAGTAAGTTTATTACATTGCTAAACGTTTCTTAATCAAGATAAAACGTTTACAACCAATACTATTTTTTACGACTAAATTTTTTTTTATGTAAAATAGATAGTTCACGTTCCATTGAACTAAGGATATTGTTTAGGTTAGTTTTTTTTTAACATTTTATAAGATCAAATTTGAAATGTAATTAACACAATGATTCAAAATTACAAAAAGACATCAAGAATTACGCAATTTGTATAAAACAAAAAATATAATAATTAAGATAACTTATTTGCTTTAATTAATAAGTGAAATGTCTCCAATCCAATCTTTCCAGTCTAATTTAGTCCAAAGGGTGACAAGGGGATATAAATATGGTCACTACAAGTCTTCTTCCGGCTGGCAATAAAAAAAACCTTGCCAAAGTGGGGCATCCGTTTGGTTGTTTGGGATATACAAGTACGCAACCAACTATAAATCAATCCAATCTAATAACTGTTTTTTTTCCCGCTTTTTTTTTTATGTTAAATTATTTTAACTCAAAATAATAATTGAAATAACTTTCTGAAATAAAACATATATAATACGCCTAACAAAACGATATACCATACGATAGATGAAACGCTAAACCATACGATAAACGAAACGCTAAACGCTAAACCAGACGATAAACGAAACGCTAAACGCTAAACCATACGATAAACGAAACGCTAAACGCTAAACCATACCATGTTACATACGACAAATAAAACGCTTAACGATACCATGAACCATACGATATACAAAACCCTAAACGATGACATTTACCATACGATGAACGAACGATGAACGAACGCTGACCGAACGTTGTACGAACGCTATACGAATGATGTACGAACGATGACCGAACTCTATACGAACGATTCCCGAACGCTGTACGTACGATTCCCGAATGAAAAAAGTGTTAACTTTTACGTTACAGGGACTGTAAAACCAAGGTTTTTGTAGAAAATCCACAGATTTTAAACAAGAGATTTTTGTAATAAAATTTTACACATAGATTACTCACTTGTTTATCTATGATGTGCTAGCATTTATTGCCTAAACAACCTTAAAATTCCAAAAAACCTATTGCTGAGTCACTAAAGTCGAGCGCACCCTAGAAGGTGTACTTGAATTGGTCCATATTTATATTTGTTTTAACCAATATCTAAATTTATAAACTTGTTTCAAGGAAATAATTGCTAGCACTGCATGCAATAAAATAAATCCTCTATCTATCAAGCACCGAATTGACAAATATGAGAGTACAAGGGGGAAGGCTGTGAATTTTCTATGAAATTTCCATATGTTTAGCATTGAATCAACACAAGGGTACATAATCCTTAAGGTAGTCGGTAAGATAAATTCGTTACACAGTGTGATAGTGACCTAATACTATATATATTGGGTCGGTAAATTCCATATGGGGTTCGAGCTTCGCTCGTCACTAGCAAACTGTGTAACTAATAATACAGAGACCTGATAATGTAAATAACCGGAAAAACCCAGCACACTTAATACAGGTGGAATAACTTCACACTTGCACATAAAATTGAAAACCGATGTAGTCATTGGATATATTGTAATGAACAGCAGTTTATACGTAATATCAATGAAATACTCTACGTTATTCAAAATGAGTATATTTCTATTCGTTGAGACCCGGGGTTTAGTATACTATGTATTCATATGTTCAAAACTGGAGTAGTTTTATAACGGGTTCTTGCTATTTCAGATTTATGGGTACTATATGCACGTGAAAAACTTTGGCAGTTTAAAAGGTGGGATTCCTTTACACTATATAAGGACATTGTTGGGGATGTCTCTTCATCGAAGGTGCTCACAGTAACTACGACATTCTCACCGTTTATGTCCCATATGAATGCATGATTAATATATTAATTAACTAGTGTGATTTCAGTTCATTTAAATGTATTAGACATTTTGTTGTATGAAATATTTGAAAATTGTTGTTAAATATATATTTGATTTTTATGTTATTACATTATTTGATAGAAAAAAAGAAGTTACTGCGAGTAATAACATCTATACCTAGATTTTCGTTTTATTTATACCAAGGATTTTAGTAAAGAAATGTTTTGAATTCGGACGAGCATGGCGAGGTAGAATTTAAGTCCAAATCTTACTTTCAATCCATTTCATTAATTTCACTCTGCATGCTTGGTTCATGTTGATCATGATATAACCCTCAACATGACGATCTACAAATATGAAAGAAGATAAAATGAAATACATGGTTACATTCATATGAGGCAACTTCCTATTTATTATTTTCGTTCACGTTCGAATGGAAAATAAGTCAGGTGTAGCGAAAACACATTTTGATAGTTGCAACACATTCGTATACATACAAAACGAGGCTTAGTTAGCTCTGTCGACACGACTTAATAGGAGTCTTATAAAACATAAAGACACCATAAATGTACAAATGATGTATTAAAAAATTCCAAAATTACTTGACACAGGGTCGTTTTTCTTAATGAATTCATCTTTTAAACAGCTTATCATCATAAGTTATAAATATGCATAGTTGGAATTGAAGAAAAAATGTGTCTCTTATTCAAAATGTTCCTTAAAGGATCTTTCTTTAGACTAGCGAAAACATTTGTCCCATATCAGACGTTATGAGAAAGTTTTCTACAACAAGCCTGGAAATCAAGAAATATGCATACATAAAAGACAAAAAAACAAAAAACAAAAAACATTATCAAATACTCGTTTCTAACAAAGGTTAATGATTAAAATTATAAGTACATTTTTGTTATATCTAGATCAACCTGAGCATTATAGATTCGGTGATAAAGATATTATATCGACTTTTCAATAATGAATCCATTTACAAAACATAGGTCAACAAGTCAAATTTTGAAAATCTCGGGTCACTTGTCGCTGAATTTGAAAAAGCGATAATGTAAAATAATCATTGGCGAATCCATTTGTGGGGGGGGGGGGGGGGGGGGGGGGGGTGGTCATGGGATTGCAATTCCAATTTCCTCTTTCAGAATGGCAGGATCTGCGCCTGAGATAATTATAATGATTAGTCAAACTACTCACAATCTGGATCTCTGTTGCCATGAATAAAAGCTTCGTCAAAATTACTGGAATAGTGGTGCCACTGTCCTAAAAAAAATACAAATATGTGTGAGTGGATGTGTGTGTGTGTGAACTAACGTCGTTCTATTAGAAAGGCATACAACTATATGTAATAAACTTATAATGAATCATTACAAACTAGAGACGCCCGCACAATTGTATACATAATTTATGATTGACGTAAGTATCAGTCTGACAAAATGCCAACTTCCGAAGAAAGGTTGTGGCTCTCCTGACTTTCCCGAAGTCCTGCGTTTGTCGCGTTTATTATGAGCATCGGTCCTTGCTTGGAAGTTGACAAAATGCATGATACATTTGTAATCATGTGTAATTGACAACTTGACATCAATTGTTGTTCAAATTAGATTATCTCGTTAATCAGGGAAAAAATCTATTAAAAAATAACTAGCATATATGTATACCTAGTATATAGGATAAAAGTTCTAGCGAAAGTTCAGACCAGTGGCGGATCCAGGGGGGGGGGGTCCGGGGTTTGAAACCCCTCTTTTTTTTGACGATCAATGCATTTGAATAGGGACATATAGTTGGAACCCCACCCCCCCCCCCCCCCCCCCCCCCCCCCGTTTTATAAATGGCTGGATCCGCCCCTGCAGACGTTTCTAGTAAGTAGATACTCAAGCTGATAATTATGCATTTACTTCTACCCTTTGCTCTATATTGCAACGAAGCAACATTTTCATGTGAAAAAAGGTGACGCTTAACACTGAAATTCAAATCTCAAATTGTTATTTCAGACTTTCGGCTAATGGACAGATATATAGAAGGCAGGATGAGTATAAGGGAAACACATTAACAAACTAGAAATTATTAATTAAACATGTTATCACTTTTGTTTTGAAAACAATACGAAGGGTACGTAATTTAATATCGTAAGACTTTGATCGAGCTTACTTTTTAATATTATATTTCATTTCGTTATAAATAAGAAGTGTGGTATGAGTGCCAATGAGACAACTCTCAATCCAAGCCACAATGTATAAAAAGTTTACAATTATAGATCGAAATACGGCGTTCAACACAGAGACTTGGCTCACACTGAACAGCAAGCTATAAAGGGCCCCAAAATGACTAGTGTAAAACAATTCAAACAGGAAAACCAACAGTCTAATTTAAAAAAAAAACACGAAAACGAGCAACGCCTATGAACCACACCAACAAACGACAACCCCTGAACAACAGGCTCCTGACTTAAGAGAGGTGCATAAAAATGCAAAAAAAATGTTTGTGTCAGCTATCTACTAATCGGATATATGTATTACAAACAGCTGAATACAGGAAGGGTTTACTTTATAAATGATCATAAATTGCTCAAATGCTTAACTCTAGCACACTCACATTTTGATTTTAATCTTACACGTGCTTTTGCATACAATGAAAATTGATAGAAATTGATTTTCTTTCCCTTCATATAAATTTGATAATTTGAGTGTGCTTCAAATCAGAAGATGGGGTATGAATATAAGATGCTGTGGTATGATTGCCAATGAGACAACTCTCCACCATATGTAGAAGTTAGCAATTATAGGTCGCCGTACGGTATTCGACAATGAGAAAAACCTATACCGTATACCAGGCGTTAATTAAACAACTCTCTGTCAGAGATTGAAGCCCTCTATATTAGATGGTTTATTTATTTTCAGTATTTTTCTATGAACACAATACAACTATATTTAAAATTTCTAGTTTTTCTCTGATTTTGCTGTTATGACGTCCCTTATGTTGATGTCTAAAAGTTGTTTGTGGACCAAATCGAATAAAATAAACATTAAGGGGTATAGTTACATTTACTTGTCGTTTGGAATGTGATTGCAGGAACAATGTTCCCCACTGTATCTATTGGAATTCGATTTTTTTCTCCTTCAACTGTTACATGTACTATGTAAATTATTGTAAACATTTTAAACGCTCGACAAGCCTTGCATTTGATATTTAAAAATGTGAAACGGGAGGAATTAAATTTGCAAATTTCACCCGACAGAATAAAAGTATCCGATTCCAAGAGAGATAACTCTTGTAACGTCATTTAAAGAAGTTAGTCTTAAACTAAGGAACATAACATAATACAAACTTTTCCTTCTAGCTGCAGATAAATCTTTATGATAGATATCATGGTAGAGTTTTTCAACAGCTGAAACAGAAACAAGGATACATTTGTAAATGAACGAACCTTACACAAGGTGTTCTCTGTCAACTGATTTAATCCAGATGCTAAATTTTGTACAAATGTTAATTTTAATTTAATCATGGTTTATTTTTGTTTTTTGTATTGTACATGCACAAATTAAGAAGAAGAAGAAGAAGAAGAAGAAGAAGAAGAAGAAGAAGAAGAAGAAGAATAAAAGAAAGAAGAAGAACTGAAGAAGAAGAAGAAGAAGAAGAAGAAGAAGAAGAAGAAGAAGAAGAACTGAAAATCTTCGTTCGATATCATTATGATCATGATTTGCCAGTACCTTCAATTACTGTTTTCTATTAGGTAATTAGCCTAAACCTAATTTCTACAAGATATGCATGTAGATTACAGGTGTTTTTTAACACTATTTTGCTTTAAAACAAAACAAAGTTGATTATTAGTTTGCATTGACTTTTTAATTATTAATTATGATCAAAAGAAAACTGTCAGGTCTTATCCGTCAAAGAAACGTATAGTGAACTACTTATATACCCTCAATACGTTAGTCAACTAAGCTACTACATGTATATATTTACGCTTTCCATGAAGCCATTTGCGTCAACACATGGGTTAATTCATGGAGCTTTTTTCAGGGGGCAATTTAAATACGATTGTGTTTTTATTTTTACTTTAACTTAAATAAACCAAAATAATTTACCTAATTGTGTTGTTTACATATTGATACTTTAATAAAATATCGAAAGTGAATCTATGTACTTGTTTGCATAACACATCTTAATCTTTAATCATTCACATTTATTTTGACAGAATCAACGCTTTTCCGATATGATTTGATTGATTGATTGATTGATTGATTGGTGTTTATCACTACTGTGCTATTTTGTGGCGGTCAGTTGAGGAATCCGGAGTGCCCAGAGAGAACCATGCACCGACCTTCGGTAGGAAAACTGGCATCCTAGTCAATTAGGATTAGAGATGAGCGCACCTGCCACGTGTGGGATTCAAACTCACAACCTCAGTTTTGAAAGGCTAGTGATACTGTAGTGCGGCTACTTAGACCACTCGACCACCGAGGCCCCCTTTTATTATTGCGATTGTTTAAACATTATTTGAAACTGGACATTTATTACAATTCATAATCTTTAACGTATTTAAAAAGTCTTGGACGAATATCCACGCAATTTAAACAAACAATACTCACCATCATAATGCTGATGTTTAACCCATTCTTTTAGCAGGGCGATAGCATCTGTTGATAAAAAAACCATAAATGACAAACTTGAGTTCTAATAAAATTGAAATTATAATATCATATCAAAATTTCAAATACTAATTTGCAGAAATGAATTTCGAAGGGTAAAAAACTGAAAATGTTCAAAAATAAAAAAAATATTATTGTATGGAATGTTTTAACTATTACTTTCGAATATCAAACTACAAGTATGTGCTTAGTTCTTGACGGGGGGTCGTCAGCAACACATTTTATAATTTCAGTTCATCGAATACATTGCATTATACTATATTTTCTAAGCTTATATTGTATATCCACACTTTTTTTTTATCTATTTTAAACATTTGGCACAACCCCCCATTTTTCTAGTTTTCACTCCAATTGACGTCACAAAAAAGAATTTCAATTGGTGGTTAGCAACAAGTTGAAAAACAAATAACTGTTTAACCAGTCAATGCATATTTTTCTCTACTTGTTTTTCGGACGTTTGAAAAAAAAAATTAATAAATGAGTGATTCAATCATTTAATAGACATAATTTTCAAGATTGACGAAGATAGAATTCAGTATGAAGATAACTGAAAATTGTCATTACCATGAGACTGTCTTTTATTGAGTAGAACGATAATTTTTTTTTTTTTTTTTTTTATATTTGATGTATTTTTCAGACGATATTTGGTAGATATACTTCAGATATTTCAGATACAGAACTTACGATTTTTCCTGTCTTCGTGATCACATTCTCCTCCTGTATAATACATACACATTTTTGAATATGATAATTGATTTATTCTATTTTGTTTTTCTACATTCTTTTTATTTTTTCACTGAAAGGGACGAACTTGTGTAACAGTAATCAAGTTTAATACCGCCAAATATTAACGGAAAACCTCGTCAATGCTATTGTGTATTTTTTTTTCTGTATTACACCTCATATTCACTCAATCACATTTATAACAAATGAAAAAGAACTCCCCAATAGTTCTTTTAATGTTGTTGTCTAAAATCAGCTAATGAAATACACGAATGCATCTTCTGATGAACGAGAAATATATTTTGACCATTTTTAGCCCATATCTACTCATACATGAATCTGCATTATGATATCATGCTTTAAAGAATATATGCTAAATAGATATATCTTCCAGGTTTCAGAAAACAAGTACTATCTTTAGTAATAAGTTATTTCCGGAACGTCATGTTTCACTACAAGACTTTAAACATGGGTTGACAATTATCATGTAGAAAGTTGATATATGTATAATTCAGGATATCCATTGTTTTCATAGAGTTAAACTTAAGATAAAGTATTTAGATAGCTGCGAAAATTGGTTACTTAAGTAATGACTGTAATATTTTTTTCTGTCTATGAAGAAATAACATAAAAATGTGGCGCACACTGAATAACCCGCGTAGCGAGTTATTTAAAAGTGTGCACCACATATTTGATGTTATTTCGAATAGCCAGAAAAATTATTACAGCCATTCCTTATAATTTAATTATAAATTCCATTTTTAAGGAGTAAATTAAGTAAAACGTTGATGATCGACATCACGGTCACATGACAAAATTATGTCTATGAGCTGATAGACAAAAAGCTTTCAGCCAATCAGAAGACGTGTTACATCCAAAATCAAATTATATATATATATATATATATGGATTATGAATTGGTTGCGTCACACCTTGAACATGCTTTTTTATTCTTTTAAAGATTTTTATATTGAGGCAAATAATGTCGTAATCTCATCATTTCCTTCACAACTTGTCACGACCTGCGGTATTTGAGATCTGTCTATTTAATTTGACAGACATAATAAAATGAATGATATCAGATATGAATTAAAGTTAATTTTAATTCTTTACAAGCTTTCGCACGCTTACAAAAATTGCTTGTTAGACGATCATATGAATGTAAACAAGTAATTCTTGTATCAGGGTATAAGTGTGCATGCATAGATTTGTTGGTGTATAAAACATATATTTCAAAGCGAATACAAGTAAATGATAACGCATAAGCCAAAAGTTCCTTCGGCGACGTACTTTCACTTTGAACAATTTGTCACATGTCTATCTTATTTCATGCTATATAACAATATGCTTTCGTTTTTGATAAAAAAAAAACCAAACAAACAAAAAACAACTCTAAGCTCCAGTTAAGCGTCGGTAATTTTCATGTTTTTTATACGGACTTCACTTTGACGTTCCCTTACCCCCAACATGAATGTATAGCATATTAGTTTATCGTAGGCAATCATATCATATCTTCTTATTTTTATATTTATGCTCTCTGACGAGTTATAGTTTTGGCTTTCAAAGCCTTTGTATCGAGCATGACTGATTCAGTAGATGATAAGTTGAGAAACACATGTTGAGGGTATGTACAGCTATCACGTCATACGGTTGCGTGTGTTACATGAATGTACATGTATTGTTTCTGGCAAACGGTAATATGCAAATCCCAAGTAAGTCCGTGTTCATTGTTCATATTGGCAAAATCGTTATCCAATGTTTAAATCCTTCGTAGAATCAATTTATTTTTTTCATAACGTTTGTAGACTTTGTCGACTTTGGGGAATTTAAAGTTTTTGATATTGTATGATAAACCATGCATATCAGAAAACATTAGACTCTTTAGACGATTATGATGTCAAACAATTCTTATTAATGTTTTTTTAATGTTATTATTATTATATATATATATATATATATAATGCCATCTAGACTATTGACCAGAAATCAAAATGACATGGATGTGAGAAACTATTTGTTACCCCTTCGATTTAAAAACGAGCCAAACTTATACCGTATAGTAAGTTATAAAAGGCCCCAAGTTACGAAAGACCAAAACGAGTGTTTTTTTTTTGCAGTTTGAACACAATGAAAGCAAGCAAATGATTGACACATACAAGAGAGGCCGAAGATACCAAGTGCACATTCAAAACTCATAAGAAAAACTGACAATTTTAACGACATGACAAAAACGAAAGATGACAAAAAGACAAACAAGTGTACTAAATACTTCATAGAAAAATAAAGAATGAGCAACACGAACCTTACCAAAACTATGAATGATCTCAGGTGCTTTGGAAGGGTAGGCAGTACTATAAATAATGTAATGGCCCACTTACCATCTTGTCCATTATTACTGTGTTGATCTAAAATTATTATTAAAATAATCATTAGTAGTATTGTAATCATTTCTATTACAAATGTATTATTATAGATAATATAATGATTTGTATTAGTATTGTCACCTCTGTTGTGAATGATGATCATGATGATGACGATGATGAGGAGGAGGAGGATGATGAGGAGGATGATGATGATGTTGTTGTTGATAATCATGTCGTTGTTCCATATTCTGGTGCGATTGCTGTTGATGATGGTGCTGATAATGGTGATTTTGTTATTGTTGCTGATTTCAAAGAACCCGTTTCATAAGTGACCACGCGGTAACCAGAATTTTAGTAAAACATCTGTCACGTGTTTTGGTAACATCGAAGTTACTCGCTTAACATTAAAATATCACCACCCTCATCACCGTCGTCGTCATTTAAAATATCAATATTATCATTAAAATATATTTTTATCATTAATATTGTTGTTGCCCTTTTGTTCCTCTTCTTCATATTATAACAGTGATACATTACTAACCAAACCTCTTCAGGAAGTACGATTTTGTTTGGTTTTAGCATATGTTTTGTTTCATCTGGTTCACAAAGGATAAAATTTGATATGACTGGACTTTAAACATGTTTGGTTTACCCAGGTGTTCGGTTTCTGCAAGATTCAGTTTGTACATGTTTTACTGTATATAATTACATTGTAATAACAATAATCACTATTTTCATTATGGTTGTTGTTGTTGCTGTGCATATTAGTAGTATATAGCAAAAGCTAATTGTTTTATAATACAAACAAAAATATTTGAAGTTACATTGACTACTGACAGTAGTGTAGCAATTATTTGATACCTATAGCTTACATAGTATTAAATATCAGTGATAATTTACAATCATTTTTCGGCGACATCTATGTCATTCTTTTCATACTAGAGAGTTTGTATGGCTGATTAATATCTTTTGAAATATAATAGCAGAGAACAAATTCACATCAGTTTGATTTGGTTAATTCTTGCTTTTTCCCTTATTGGTTAAACAATGGTATTAGACATTAAAAATGTAATTTCACATGCACTTGTACGTCTACACTGTTTTACTACCGACAAAACACTGAAGACTTGAGTTCATTACGGCTCAGCCTGATCTGTTTGATAACGACAACAGGTAAACATAAATGTCAACATACTTGCAATACTAGTTAATAGACTGCTCCAGTTTTTATGCCAGTCTTGTGAACTAACGACGACCAGTCCTATAAAGCAACGTCAAAGTGATATATAGTAACAATACATTTGATTATTCAATGTACATAGTACACTGGTTTATGATATGGTTTCTGAAAATTCCGGCCTGTCTACTGAAATTATTGAGCATTTATTTAGACTAAATTGTCTATCGGTTTGTTGCAGGAGTAAGTCGATTTATGTAGTAAAAACACAATTAAACTGTGTAAGATTATTATAAATACAAGTTCAAAGGAATATTTGCGTTTTAGAATGCAGTTTCTGCCTTTTCCGTGCTTACATAATTTTAAAGTTCGGATTTTTAACAAAATTTAAATAAAGGGTGATAATTGCCTTCTAACCTATGCAGCCCTAATATTACCTATATGTGATTCATAACTGTCAATAACATGTGCACTTGTTAGTTATCTTAAAAAAGAGAGTTTGTACCAAGGATGCAACTTAATATCCCGAATACAATAAAACAGAAAACCTTATTGCCAAATCAAAATCGACGACAAAAACAATAATGAGAAAGCATTTCACATTTAACTAAAGATTAAGCAACACAAAACCTCTCAAGACACCGTGGTGAACTAAGGTGCTCCAGAAAGGTAAACAGTTCTAGCTCTTCATATGACACCTGTCGTGTTGTTCGAATTAGCTATGGTCCAGCGATAGATCGCGTTGTCCATGTCGCAAACGACGTAATAAGATAGAAATTTGGTATCCACAAGTGAAACTTATTACCCTTTGACTCATATGCAACAGACATATTTCATAACTGTCAACAAAATCATTATGTTGTCTGATAAACCTCCGATGGGTTGACGAAACTTCTACACATAATTTGAATCTTTAATCCTTGTTATCCGTAATCTTCTATCAAGGAGTACATGACAGCAAACGCAACCGAAAAATCGTACTACCTATAACTGTTCGATTCTACAAAGTTTCAATTGGTTGTTCCTAAAACAATATATGGGTATCGGTAATCTAGTGTCCTAAAAACCACGTAGCAAATTATCCCCGATGCCTTTGGATGTCTTGAAAAAAAATCGTGTCTTTAGACAAGTAACGGTTTTTAGAGACTCGTACAAGTAATGCATTAATACGTGTCTTGAGACACATATTTGTCTCAAGATGTCTTAACATACTGATAGATATGCCGTAGAAAGAAGCAGCTATGAGGACGAACAATCATCGTTTCCGTACATTGAACGGACAGAAATCAAATGCGCTTACCACCATTACTCCACTTGTCATTGAAATAAAAAAAAAAACAAACCCATTTACATAAAGATCATCTCAAACCGCACAAGACAGGAAAATATCCCAGCTACTACGAAAACGTATTAGTAGTAAGCTATCATTATTTCACTCCATACCAAATCATATAGACCAAAAAAAAAAACTATGCTTTTTCAGATATCTAAATACATGTACCTACCAAATGCACAAATGATTAGAATGCTAACTCCTTTCATTTTGTTTACAAGGCTGTGGAAAGGTATGTGAATGAATTTTGATAAGGATATATATATGTGACTCACATATCAGCTAACGTCAGGTTTACTTACGGAAAAATCGTGTTCGGTAGTTCTACACTCTTATCAAATACAGGAACATACAAATGTAGTATACTATTATCTAAATTTGGCATGCCAATTTGCACAAGTTTTATTTAAACTGTTGATAATTTGTTCGTCAAGTAAATTGATAAATATAGATTCTACCACTGCATCGAGTGTGATACGATATTTATCCACTCGAGACAGTTAAATTTTCAAATTTAAAACGCGAGGCTCGCCGAGCGTTATAAATATTTAAAATTTAACTGTCGAGAGTGGATAAATATCGTATTACACGAGATTTGGTGGTGGAATCTGTTTCTCTAATGATTTTCAAACAATACGCAGGCAAATTTATTCCTTCTTTTCGAATGATCTGCAAAAAGATGTATTCTTTCTATGTGACGTCATCAGGCATAGTCGCCTTTTTTCATGCCGTCACAATAGGAAATTTAGAGGAGAGCAAGAAAATTCGACGTCATAATCGGATTTTAACCAATGAAGAACTGAGATCAAACGAACCACATGTTGATTAAATTTTTTTTATACAATGGGTGCAGAAAGGGATAAATTGACGAAGAATTAGAGAAATATAAATACATGTATCACCGAAATAATCTTATTCTGAAAATAGGGATTACTCATAAAAATATAAAATGCTTTTTAAATCGGATCCTTGCAAGGTCTTTTTGCCTGTCAGACAGAGGTTTCCTAACCTAGATCTTATTTCATAGGCAAGTGTTCATTGTTATGTTTTTTTTTCTCGATTATGCCCGTTTGTCGGATACTATTAACAGTAGGCAAACTATCTTTGGTGAATGGAAAGATTATTGTTGTTCAATCCGTTTGACAGGTTTCATCTGACCTTGACCTCTTTTTCAAAATGTATTTTTCAATTGGTTGAGTTTTTATAGTTCGATCCCTTTCTCAGATACTACTCTGGATTCATTATTATTCATTGGATACCATGTTTGTGGATTTCTTGGGTACAGGGGAACCACGAAATTAGATGTTCAACGAATGACAATTTTTCTATAAGCTTGTGTGCAGCCTTCATCAAAAACACGAACATGCAAGTTTTTCTGAATCGATGAATATTGGTACCACGAAAATAAATGAATCCACAGTATAAGAAATATGTTTGGCGTTTTAGGCGTACATGTCTATCTGGAAAGTTTCAACTGAGAACGTAACTAAATAACCTCATTTCTATTGTTCATTGGGCAATGCTAGGTTTTCGTCGATTGGTTCGTTTCTAAGTACTATAAGCAAAAATTCAACAATATTGTATGAAGGAAGTGATAATAAGATGTACTTGTCCGTTTGGTTACGTACATTTCATGTTTACTTATTTTGCTTGGTTTGTTGATAAATATCACACTTTCGTAGTTAGATCTGTTTCTCGGATACTATAACAATAGGTCAGCCATATCTGATGTATGGAGTGGTAACACTCGTAGGTTGCAAGTAAACTTGACATCCTTTGCATGATTTATTGATCAACATTAAATTTGCATTGTTTGGTCTACTTCTCAGATACTATAAGCAATAGGCCAAATGTATAGTGTGCATGCAATGATTGTAATATGTACATTTTATATGGTTGGCAGGTTTCATTTGACCTTGACCTCAATATCAGTGGTCATTTACAAAGTTTTTCTTTATGTGATTTATGTAGTAAATTTTAATCTTAACTGAAAACATTCTCAACAATAACACTCAATTATGCTCAATTAAGCAGGTGAGATGGGGCGTTTGATAATGTGGTGGAATATAATTTTGGCTTCCCTCTTGTAAAAGAAGGATATAAAAGAGGTTTCCTCTAATTCTCTTTTCTTAATTATTTTTCATTGGATGTAAAACAAATATTTGGACAAGCTATATATATGTTTTTGTCGACAACTTCACTGGAAATTTAAACTCTGCCATACCAGTTTGATTTGTCATTTTTAAAATAACCATTTGTTTCTTCAGAATTCCGACACAAATGTTCATGATTGTTATTTACTTAAATGGAATCCATCACATATAAGTAGAACTGTACTTAAGGTTGTTTGTCTATTATATAGGTAATTATCTAAATATTAGATCACGATTTGGTGTCGAATTCAAATATATGGTCTGATAAGAAACTTCCCAAGGCAACCGAGGTTATAAGGTTCCTAACTTATGAATATAACCTTCAATTCAAAACTGTTTGAAAAAGTTGATATTAACCTTATATTGCTAGCTTATCGACATATATGTATATGAATAAAACAATGATTTTTTAAAGTGACTTGAGAGATTTCCTCCTGATCGTGCTAATATTTTGTTTACAAATCCATTAATCTAAAATAATGGAAAGGGCAGGTGTTACAATTAAAGTCACAAAATGAACGTTTATGTCCATATGTCCATGTGTACTTGTATGTGTATTTTGAATTGCTTGTCAGTTTTTTTCAGTTTTTTCTTTCAAAAATAATTTGAAATATAAAAGTTGCTAAAGCACGCCAAAAGCGAATACGGCTTTAGCGTGTTGGACCAGACAGAAAAGCTATATTTAAAATATTAACCGGTCGACGTCATCATTATTGCATATTATTTTAATTAACCATATTAAGGCTAATTTGATCATATCGTTTAATAAAAGGTAATAACTCTTATTAGACGAAAATAGTCAATTTCTGTTTCCTGTGTAATTGCTTGTCATTTTATTGTTATCTATCAACCTTTACACTGTTTTATTTTGCTATGCAGTTGTAAATACATTGGAACAAACACATATATTTAATGTAATCGTTATTTGTTCATTTGCCAGTCGGATAATGGTGGAGTGACAAATCGAGAAAAAGTCGCTTATTTTAAGAGTTTAATGGACCGACATAACTCAAAGCTGAAAATCCACATGATGATAAAGTACACATTATACGATCGTTTTAGCCCTGTCTTAGAGTTTTCCTACGTTGCAGTTTTATGCAAAATCGCGGGGATGCGTGATTTTCCGATTTTTTTCCTTTTCATTATCAAACACGGGAACGTTTATAATTAATTCTTGATTGAAGATATGATTATCAGCAAATATTTGCTATGAAATGAATGAGATATGTATCAGCTTTCATTTAATATTAAAATAAGATATCATAAAAAAATACTCATAGAGTAAATTGGATGAATTTCATTTGCATGTGACATTTTTTTCAATTTTACCGTCTGTCAAAGTATATTATTTTTTTTACATACAACACCTGTAGTCGATTTTGACAAAAAATAGTGGAACAACCAATATTTATTAGGTTATAATAGACAAAGTTTGATAGAACATACAAATAAACATTTACAAGCCTTTTTATAATACTCGTCATATAGCTGTTTTGCTATTCGATATTCACCTCAATAAGTCATGTTGCGCTCCCTTTCCTATTTTCCCGAGACCTATGAATTGCTTTGTTTTTCACAATGAATTAAATAAGTATTTTCTTAATTTTCGTAAATAAGAAAATAGATTTGTATCAATTTGTGTGTCTAGATGTTTGAATAAGTGCAGATGTTAAGGTTTAATAACATTTGAGGTCGCTTTTCGAATATATTAATTTTAAACCACATTACAGCACATCCGAATTAATCCGGAAAATGATGAAAATTTCAGTAAATAAGAACGAACAAATACAGTAGCTTAAGTCGTGTTATAAAGTCTATACATGTGCAAGAAGAATAAATTTTGATACATTTGAATTAGGGAAAAACCAATGCGTGTGATGAGGAATCAACTTTTGATGTATTCGATTTTTATGTCCTATATCTTTAGGTCATTTTGATGTGTCCGTATTGTCACAGTTAAACAACAGACGTTTAAAAAAAACAACGTTAAGACACGCTCCATGGTGGTCCAAATGTTTATTCTGCAGACAAAAGTCATACAACATGTACAACGAGATAAGCAATTAAGACATGTCGAGATTACTTCATGGACAATGCGCTGCATCATTCAGCATGCATTGTTAACTACTGGCTGAAGTGAGAAAAAAAATAACTTGCCTCTGATTCTCCAAATCAGTCGGAGCGTGATGTTGCTTAACAAAAACTAACAGAAAGTCTACATGATGATCTGTTTGTGGAAAAAAGTAGTTTCGTTGTCGTATAATTTGCTAGATACATATTTTTCCTTTTTTCAAGCTCTTCATGATGCAGAAAAAAATAAGAAAAGCAGTTTACGATTGTTCGAAATTTAAATTATTACTCTCTATTTCCGTCGAAATTTAGTATTCCAACATCTTTACAATTAATTCTACCTGTCTTATAAATACTTTCCTGGTTAGTAGATGACGATTATTTTCATATGGGAGAATAATTACAATACACTTTCATGTGATACTGTACGGACATGTATACCTTTAGCTAAACGTGTGTGATCATGATATCCCTGCATTAAAAACCAGTACACCTCTTGTTCAGAGATGGTAAGGGTATTTTACAAAGTTTTACTGTAAAAAAGAACAACAGTTTTGGAGGTTTGGCCAAGGACGCCTTTAAACCCTAATAGCTTATTTTGAAAACGTCGGGGTGTGTCGTGGATGTGTTTGATCGGTATGATGTGGAATATTCTACTTTATTATACTTCACGTCTAAATGCCAGATTTTGATTTGATAATACAAGGGAGATAATTTACTCTATCCCATGGCTCAGCGGGAGACAATTTTTTGAATGTCACCCTTTCGTGCAGACCAATCAAAAATCGATAATTTAAAGAACAATGAATTGAATTTACATCAATAAATTACAGACAATGCTCATGGTCTTCGTTTGTCATCAGAAGAACATTTTCGTAGACTATCAAAATAAAAAGAAAGATTCTTTCTTCAATTTGTTGTTTTTCTAATACCGGTAACTGTTACGTTGTTATGTATGTGACGTCATAGTTTAAAAGTACTTTCAATTTTAAATTT